ACACCCCCTTGGACTGCGCCCTTTTCTCAGCAAAGGGTTAAACATTTCAGCACAGAGCCCTGAAACGCTGAGATTACAGACAGAGCTGGAAGGGAGCATTATCACTAAGTGTCCGACGCAGTGTCTGCACATCCAGATCCTTGTGAGTTCACAGACGAGCCTTTTGGACGGAAGTTTTTCCATGTCAGACGCAGGCGTCAGCAGGTGTTTTAACAGCAGTCGAAACATTTTTGTTCGCTTCCAAACATGCAGAAAAAAAGGTGGGCTTTTGACCTCTTCTTTTTTTTTTAATTTTTAAGATTCGTTCTAAACCAGTAAAGGCAATGGCTCAGGGATGTGAAACGTAACAGGGACTGAGGGATCCAAAAACTGGAAGACCACCTTGTTTTAACAAAGCTACACATTTTTGGAAACTTTGTAAGTATTTGATTTAAACATGAGAATTTGACAAGTCCAAAGACTCCCTCTACACACATTTCATCCCCTGAGATTTCCTATGTGCTGCCGTGCTTAAAACGACAAAACCCAAGGCCACACAAGCTGTTCCCAGAGAACTGATGTCAAATATTCTCACAATAACAGGGACAAGGCCAGACCTCACTGCAGTCATTTCTCCCATAAACTAGGGTCACTATGGCAAGGAGAGGAGAAGGAGTTTATCCCTTATTTTCACTATTATAAAATGCAGGCAGTATTTAGATTTCAGGGAGCCCTATCAGGATGTGGGATGAAATGCAGGGGAAGCCAGCTGTAAACTGCATTGAGCAGAAAGGAATAGTGATGCATCTAATCCCAGGGCAACAGGTGCGGCTTTCCTAAGCATCTCCCTGCACAAACCTAGAATTGAACTTGCTGAAGCCACTGGCAAATTTTAATGTCATCCTCCCTTTTTATGTACAGAGAATTTGTGTGGAGGATCCTCTGGCTCCATGAGCTAAAAAAAAAGGGGGAAAAAAAGGCCACTAAAGATGATCAGCTTGCAAATAACTAAGATGCAGACACGAGCTCTCTTCTGCTTCATTTCAGCACGTTAGAAAAATCCAACCACCACAGTTTCCCACAGGACCTCGTTTAGTAAAGAGGTGGATGGTTAATCCATCTTCCACATCTTCGTGTGTCCGTGGGCCCTACTTAATGTACATTGAGCAAACTGAAAACTAACCTCCTGCAGTTCCCTCAGTGTGTCCAGGGACGAGCCCTCCCACAGGGCATCTAAATCCTTCACGAAACTTGCCATTTTTCCTCTGAGGTCGCATGGTGACATTCACCTGTTTTTACTGCTGCAGACAAAGGCAGAGAGCAGTGAAGACTTTGGCCTTCATTTTAAAACACAAGAATCATGGTTTTAATATTCTTAGGTGTGATACACAAGGCTGTAACGTCCCCAGCATAATTTTTTGAAACTAAAAGTTGGGAAAAAACCCAGCTACTACGTTCCTTTATAAACTTGCACGCTGCTCAAGAAAGCTGTATTATGAGTGCATTTGAAGAGGAAGCTGCTCATGCGGCTGCAGCGGCAGCTGGAGACCTCTGGGTCTAAGCCAGCAGCACAGACCAGACCTGCCCAGTTTCTGCTTCTGCAGCAGGATAACGTACACACAAACCAGAATTGAGAAAGTGCAAAGCTGCTCTAGTTCCTAACTCCAAGCCTTAACAGGAGGCAATTTTCCTAAGTGATGTGAAGTACGTACCACCCTGAAGCAGACCTGAGCAGCTCAGGTGGCTCCAGCTCACCCTTCCATCATGACAAACCCCTGCAGCGAAATCTCCCAAGGCTTTGCCTGTCAGAACCCATGGTCTTCTACTGTGGGTTGTTTTTTTTTTCCTTTTCTTCTTGAAAAGTGCTTTCTAATGGCTTGGCATAATTTGTTGTCCTACATACGTTTGAATAGAAGCACAATTATGACACAAAAGGGAGTATTTTTTATGCAACAAAATAGAAAGGACACAACACAACTAGGCTGCTCCAGTAGAAAAGACTAGTTTGAAACACACTGGGAATCCAGAGGACATTATAGATCAGATTAGAATAACAAAATAACAAAATAACAAAATATGCCTGAACTATCATTCGGCCCACAGAGATTTTTAAAAATTTTAAAGAAATAAGCCTGTTAGTGGATCTTCTTACTCATTTTTCCGTTTAGCAGAGTAAGCAAACAAAATTAAAGTGTTTACAGTTTTAGAAGTATGGGGAACATTACGGTATTTTCTAGGTCTTATTCTTTCTAAATAAAACGTCTCTTAAACTAATGCATTCTTTATTCCAATGTAATGTCTTTCAAGTCACCTAGATAGGACCTACTGGATGGGTAACAGGTTGCAAAAAAGCCACAATTCAAGAGTTTCATTTTATCAACTGAAAGCTGAAGGAACCAAAGAGATTAAGCTGCTTTTGGAAATGCAAGTTGGGATATTTCAAGATCTTTATCCTTTATATCCCCATGGAAGAGCATTTGTAAAGATTAAAATAAGGCACTGTAAGCTCGTCTCCGTCAATCTACCCAGTGAGGGAGAGGGGCTTCTCCAGGTGACTCACCCGACTGATACGGAGCAAGGATGGCAAAGCCACAGCTGGAGTTGCAGACACCTCTCCAGCAGTTAGAGGTGGTTCTCCACTACTGCCATCATGTAATTAAAGCAGGACTGTACTAATTAGCAGGCCACCGGACAACACAAATCTCTGGCTTGGCTCCAGTCTGTCCCCGAGCGGTGCCCCCCCACGGGGTCACTCGTGTCCGAGGTGAGGGACATGTGGCCATCCCACCCCTCCCAGCGACAGCCATGGAAGGCCAATCTCCTGCCTAAAGGTGGTCTTGGTGCGTACTCCCTCCCCAAAGAACACGGGGCAGAAGGAGTTGGGCCTGCTTGTACAGCATCCCGAGCTTAAAATTAACGTTGAATCAGCTGTCGGAGCCTACTAGCACTGGGAGCCTGAGAAGGACACTTCTAGAGGTAGAAAACGACAGTGAGTTTCTTGACATTATGGTGCACCTTCAAACCTTTAAACCGAAGTCATGATTTAATATGGTTATGTAGATCAGCTGCAGCCCACTTACCACGGCCTCCTGTACACCTTTGGGAAACGCCTCCTTAAAAAGTATAAAACTCCGTACTGGAACAGTATCCAAAGTTTCAGAGATGACTGCATTAGCTTACTTTATTCATTCTTGTAACATACTTCAAACTTGGATGCCGAGTTCCGCTAACTAATATGTAGTCAAAGACAAAAACCCCTAAAAGTCAATCTGTGTAGACTAAGCAGCTTCATAGTCTTCAAAATAAGTTCTTGCATTTTTTTTATAGTATTTGATAGCAGCTTTTTATTGGTTACAAAACCTAAGCCCATATACAAAATTAGGAACACATTTAGATGCCTCTTTGAAAGAACGTTTTAGTCTATTTTAACTGATAGTTTAAAAAAATAATAAAAACAATGCAATTTTAAACACTGTTCTGAAAACGTAAAAGTGCAGCAATATACTTTGTTTCCTTTATTAACTATGAAATGGTGCAATCCCAATCGAAAGCTGATAAGGTCACAACAGAAAGAACTGAGCAAACGCTTTGTCCTGCCTTACCCAGTTCTCCGATGTTCACTTTGAATGTAATGCATTGAGTGCAAGAAAAGGATCAAATCTTCACAGTAGTGGAAAACTGTTCTTTCAGTATCAATTTGTATGGAATCTCTGGGATAATAGCGAGTGCAGGCTGAACAGGGTATCCGTCAGTCTATATGGCATATAAGGAGACTAAGTTGAATTAGAAGGGAGGGGGAAATATTTGTTCACAATAACATCTGCTGGAACTCTAATTTCACAAAAACTTTGTGACCTTACCTAACTTTGACTTTTTATTGTTTAGTTTTTTTAGCGAACACCACACAGTTTCAAGATTTTAGACTATAGTGTGTGAATAGGATGCAGTTACCATATGAAGCTTCAACTCAACTTCTGGGAAAAGAAAAAAGGCACAATGAACTTCAACTCAATTTTATGTGCACAAGAGTTGAAAAATCTGAGCCACCTTAAAGAGAAATTGATTCTAAAATTTATAAAACCTATAAATAATCAGAGGCCAAACCACTATATTAAAACAGATTATCTAGCAAGTAAAAATCTTGCAGTTTAAACATACGCTTGTATCCCGTTGAGATACAAGACAACTCACTCTTTAAAGTGGCTCCACCTTGGCAGATATATATTTAATGAATGCACACCTGCTATGCGTTGTTCATCAGTGGAAAAACAGCTGATCCACAAAGCTCTGATGGCATCTGTCCTTATCTTCATCACAGTAAATACAACCCACATCCAATAACTAAATTAGTTTAGATTTTTCTATCCCTTCACATCAATGCATTGGGAAATTACACCCAGTAAACAACAGCAACAAAACCAGTTTGTGTGATAGCTTACAGAATTTCAAAATTATCGACCTTCACCCCAGCGATACCAAAATCCCTTTGAAAATGACTGGGTCAGACGGTTTTCCAAAAGCAAGGACCTCACATACCTTATGTAAAATTATTTAATGTGCGCTGCACATCAGGTTTATGCTGAATAACGGCAGCTTCCATACAGCCTCACACATCAACCAGTTTGTATCCTTTTTCAATCATGTGAATAAGATTTGAGACTAATTTCTGAATTACTCTTCCAATACTCCAAGAATGAAGCTTTTATGACGCTTCTAAGTAGTTGCTGGTTTGTTGCCAACCACATCATCATAAGCACTGGTTACTAAGTAAAAATAGTTTAAGACTAAATTACAGTAAACATGAAAGCTCCACAGTTTAAACCCAATATAAATCAACCATACCCAATTATCAATTTAAAACAAAATATATTGACTACTGAAAGTTGAAAGCAAGATTCTTTTTAACTAATAAATTTTTGGACAGATTTTGTTGTTGGTGTGTTGTGTTTTTTTTTTCCC